TACTACTAGTAAGGCACCTGTTACTAGTAGCGATGCACTTGTTACTACTAAGCAACCTAATGCTGCTACATTTGCCCCAGGCCCAGTCCGGACTCGCCACATCACGATGGAAACGTGAACATTGGCGGCAAGCAAAACCACAAGCCTCTGCCGGCAATGTGATCATGTGTTCAGTGTGTCACTCCCTCTCAGTGAATCTACTGGCTGAGGTCAATCAACCACCGAACCCTAGACTGCGAGCTGCATTGTCACGGAAAGTCTTACCCCTTCAATCAGAGTGATTGAGAATTGAGTGCAATATAGAGTCCAAATGGAATTGACTTCCTAAGATTCTGGCGCTATAGCACCCGGGATGAGGCCAAATTGCGCAACAGCCTCACTGACCAGAATCCCTGGAAGCTTTTGGCTTTGTAACGATTATTTTTGTTTTTGTGCGAGGATGCTGTTTAATCGCTTGATCCCGAGCCCTGCACCACCGGCATCGCTAAAATTCCAGCGCCCACCACGTCAGCAACAATGATGCCAGCAGTGAGCTTCACCTTAAACACAAGCAGAGGTTTCACTCACTGACCACTATATAGTATATAGTATATACAGTGTCAGTGTTGACACGACGGTGCTGGATTTCTGATTTGTCCATTGCATTAAAATAGCTTCAATCAGCCAGGCCAAGTTACGCCATTGTGGCCAAAAAGCTCCTTCAAGTCACTGTCCTCTGATTCCACCCTTAGATAATCTCAACCTTCCAAGCTCTTTGGCACAAATCTTCCCACCAAAGTCCGTCTAGGAATCTAGCATGCCACTACAGTAAGGAGGGGCAAAGCCACAATCAAACCTTGAAAGGCAAAGCACCATGTACTTGTGTCCATGTCCGTGTCAGCTGATGAATCAGAGTCGAAGGAGGCCGCCATGGCTGATTGAAGCTAAAGCTGCAACGATAAACACTCAGTGCGGCAATCTTGCATGACAGTGTGCTCTCCGGCAGTGGCATATACAGTGATCCTTTGGGCCAAAGGTTGCTGCTGAATCCTGAAGAATGAACATTCTAGACTTGGCTCACATAAAAGGACACGAGCATCTTACAGATCGCGTGCGTGCACCTGAGTCACCTACATCTGCCTTTGCAGTCCCAACCTTGCAAACTCAAGCCAGTGCCCGGGGACGCATTCACATTTGGTGATGCAAAGCGCACCAAGGAAACTTGGTCAAACGTAGAACTCCATGAAGACCAAGAAAACATCCCCAGTCACTCTCGCAAAGGTGGCACCCTCTGAGCTCAAGCTTCCAAACGTGTCAGGCGCACGGCAGGTCGCGCCTGCTTCTTTTCCTCTGGGGGCACCTGAGCAAGCCAGCGAGCTGGTGGACCCAACGGGACAACCGGCCTGGAACGCAAACTAGAATTCGGCAGAGGTGAAGCAGCGTGATACATACAATACGGTCACAAATGATCTTATGGATACTGATACACGGGTCAGCTAAAGAAGATTAGATGAGTTGGAGACGAGAGCTGACATAACAACTTGCAACTGTTTACATTCAGCGAGGTGAGATGAGACAAAACGGTGCGATGCAAACCTATTATGCAAACATAACATATGCAAACTAGATTGGGGTTAGGTCAGACGCCACAAGATGCAATGACATAGAAATGTAACGAAGAAAACAAACAGATATACATATATATATATATCATATATATATATATGTATGTATAGTATATATACATACAGTAACCTTTCACCGCATGACAAGAGAGACACGGGAAGCTGGCGAGCTGATATGACGAATGGGATGGGAACAGAGTTGGCCGAGTGTAGTCAAAATGATTTCAATAAACCAACGAGTGGAAACCCTTCACCAAGCCTTGGCCGAGCTTGCGATGATTGGTTCCAAGGCGATGACTGTGCCTGGGAAGCTAATGCAGTGCATCATTCCCAGTTACAGTAAAAACCGGAGGATGCACAGAGGACAACTGACACGAGGTATGCTTTTAACGGACTTTTTCAACATGCACCTTGTCTTGACTGATGGGTTCCTGTCTCTCTTGGGCCTTCGGGCCCTAGTCAAGTGATGCTCTACATCCCATGTCTGCCGTGGCATTCTCTCATGGGCGACATGGTGACTTGCCATTTTGCCAAGGTTTGCAGGTCCTTGAGTCAGGACCCTTGGGGGGTTAGGAAGCTACTAGTAACAAGTGCCTTACTAGTAGTAACAGGTGCCTTACTAGTAGTAACAAGAAGCTACTAGGAACAAGTGCCTTACTACTAATAACAATAAGAATTTAATTAGAATTGTCCAATTGAAGACCAAACCAGGGCCTTAGGAAGGGCCAGGTCCAGCACTGACACAAACCAAGGCAGCTCTCAGCACTTGCTTCTCATCAGAGCCTGGGAAGGAGCATGGCACGTTTGAATCGAAGCACCACAAACTTCTGGAACACCGACCACGGCAGCTAGCACGAATAAACCAAACAAAGCACAGCCTGTCCTGGGGTTTTCAAAATCCAGCCAGGGCGAAGCTCATTGCAAACGACTTCCTGCCCCCAGAAGAGAACTCTCTACGTCGTAGCTGGACTCAAACTCATGTGGAAAAACTCTAGTCTCTTCCATAAGCTGCTTGATTATCTCAAAGCTCTCGCCCGGTCCTCCTTGTACTCCTCTGAGGGGATCATGGAGACAGCTTCATGAAGCTCCGGATTGAACTCTTCCCCAACCGACGCCATCTTCTCAATACCCAAGGACTTCCAAGACTGCAGCATTTTCTCAAAGAGCGCCTCAAATTTGGCCACCACGGCTTTCTGTCCATCAGTTTCGACCTTGAGATTCTGCTTCGCATACTCATATTCATCAGCAATCGGCAGGAGCTCTTGAACCAAAGGTATGGCAGCTTTGCCTCTGGCAACTGCTAGTTCAGACCTAGTCCGTTGTCTAAAGTTGTCGATCTCAAGCTTCAATCTTGAATGAGCTCCCTTTTTCTCTTCAATCACGTCATTGAGGTCCTTGATTTCCTCACTCAGCTTCTCTATGTTGGCTTTGGCCATTTCTGACAATTCTGCGGACTCCTATCCACGCAACTCAGGGGACGGGGACAAGTGCATGCAAGTGACTTGTTTGATCTTGATTGTCTTGAGCAACAAGTGACCGTCTTTCGTGTGACTTGTCTTCTGACGTTTGGCAGGCTGTTGTTTTCATCGTGGTTTTTGCCTCCTCCTCCGCAAATCTGCGTGTTTTGGCAAGCGGAGAAACGCTGCGCCAACCACTGCGTCGTCGGGAGCCCAGTGGCCGAAACCTGAAATCAAAAGTTTAAAAAAAAAGAATCTGTTCATCTAGTTTCACATGTTCGAGCAAACGGATATGCATGAATAGGTATAGGGTAGGTCGATTGCCAACGGATAACATTAATACATATATACATACAAACATACATATGCACACATAGATACATATATATATATACAATATGAATTATATACTATACACATACAGTGGCGTGCTAGATACGCAAATTGACCGACAAACCGACAAGCAAATAGATAGTTCTTCCTTTGCTGGACAAGGCTAGCAACTGCCCCAAAAATCCAGTCTGCAGTGTCAGCAGTGCTGCAACCAGTCCCACAAAAAGCAGCGGCCGACGGCTCATGGCTGAAGTCACGTGGAGAATTGCCAGGCCAAGACTCGCAAAATGCCACGGCACCAATGGTCTGACTCAAACATGCAAACTGAGCATGTAATGTTCATATCTGGGCAACTTCTATTAGTGCCCTTTTCCAGCCTTCAAAAAGAGAAGAACACTGGCCAAGCAAGACACAGCTTGGCGTTACCTGTTGCACAGTTTTGCTGCACTGCACAGGTGTGGCTTCGCGTTTTTGTACACACATTGCCTGCCGGTTGCCTTGCGGTTGCCTTGCGGTTGCCTTGCGGTGTCTAACTTGACCCTGCACCGATGACAGGAATTCTTGTCATAGTCGCTGCCATCAATGACAGGCGAAATTCTTCGGGTAATGACATTCTGTGTGCGATGTGGCCTGCACCTTTGACAATATCGTTCAACGTCGCACAAATGTGGAATCCTGTCATTTTCACCAGCAGCACACTGGATACAATCAGTCAGCAGCTCAGAGGTCACACCCGGAAAAAAGAAAGAAAGGATCCCTGCTAGGCTTTTGTTTGCATCCAGAAAAGGGACATGACATCCCCTCAACTCAGGATTCCACTTTCGAACTCGGGCCCATCCAGCCTGCAGCAAGCTTCATACCAAACAATCTCGACGGGCACATAGCATGCTGTATTGACTTTGTGCGTCCAACATGTTTCAACACAATCTGCCCTTGCCTTTGCACGCTGGTTGAGCTGCTCGAGGTGTAAGTGTAAATGTCAGGCCTTTTCTGCGGGAGTTCTGTCTCTTTGCCACACCTCCACCGCCTCCACCCCAGCAAAACCAAAATGTTGACAATCAAAGCCTTGAACAAACTACAGGGCAAAAGAACAGTATGTCAAAACGCAGTGGGGGGCCGGCGGTAGAAGAAAAGCGGCCTGGCGGAACATGTGCAATGGCAAAACCCTGGATGTGAAAACAGTGCCTCAGAATTGGGCCACAATTGTTCCACTGTAAAATGTCCTCGGGAGCGAGGTCTGTAATAGTCTGTAAGGCTTTGGTGAAGGAATGCCCCAAAAGTTTGTTGTTGGAGTGTTTCGGCACCCTTAGGTTTTGACCATCCCAATTGTGAAGGCGGACGCGAATGTCCTAACAATTGGGTGGTTGCATAAGCTGCCGGAAATGGTCCCAGTGACTCTGGCATCTTCTTCACAGCTAACACGCGTACGTTGGAGATGTTGCCTGACCTGAACTGAATACAATGTCAAATGATACTCACCATGAACACCAATGCTGGGCAAACGGACTGCATCCAATCCCGAAGCTTGGATCCTCGAACTGGTCCCTGTTCCTGAGCACAAATTGTCGCCACCCACTGTCCAGTCCAAATACTGAATACTGGCTTCTTTGTGGTGGCACAAACAACCTTCTACTTCACAACTCCTCGGCATACCTGACTATAATGAGCTGTAAAAATATCTTGCAAACCCTTGTCCTAGCAAAACAGGCCGCCACCAGCGTACACAAAAAGAACATATGCTTGCAACCACCACCACCACCACCACCACCCGTCCACTTTTTGTTATCCAGTGCGCAGCCCCCTGTTCAAGTGCCGGGTCTGCAGGCACCTAATCAAAATAGACGTGGAGAAAAAATGAAAAAAAATATATATATATATATGTATGTATGTATGCATGTATGTATGTATGTATGCATGAGTATATGTATATGTATATGTATATACACACAAGGGCTGTCAGAAACTAGGGCCCAGACTTGACCATGGTCATCAATAAAGAACCAAGGCAGATCATGCAACATCCTTTCAGAATTTCAAAATGCCGCCGCCTCGTGAACACCAATGCAATAATTGTTTGTCGGCAAAACATTCACTGTTCCCCGCCTGCTCCCCTTACCGCTGTCCGAGAACACGACCCATCACCTGGAACCTGGTCCACGTCCACGCAGCAACCAAATATGGGCCAAAACTGGAATATATTACTGGGATGCGGCCCAATCGCGTGGTGCTTGCAGAGCCAAAAATACAGCAACAAAATAGTCACGAATCATGAAAACGCAGTGTTTGCGCGCCCTGGGTACCAACAACAACAACAACAACAACTTCTTCTTCTTCTCACGCGTCCAAGAAGGTTGCGCAGCCGTTCGCGGGCACTCATGGCCGGCGGACTCCTTTGAGTTCATTTCTCGGATTCATGCCTGAACGGCCTAAGGCCAAAAGTTCATTCGGCATATTTCGTCCTGAACAGGCCAATGGCCAAGCACATTCGTACATAGGCTCCAGTTCCAATCTGTTCAACAAAAATCAGCATCAGGCTGAAACAGAATCGACAACAAGAGTGTACAGGCACTTCAAGGGCTTCACTTAACCCAAAAGGTGCATTCAGGCGCGGCCTCTCTCATTGAGTCAGCTCAGCGCTCAGCAGCGGCGGCGCAAGTGGCTCTCAGCTGCAGGGACGGGAGGACCAGCAGCTGAAGTGGCAGCAGGTTCGACTTTGGATCTGAGTGTGGCTGCTGATCCTGGCGATGCAGAAGCGTGGTCTTGTACCACACTCTGCTTGCACAGGAAATTGGAGGACCCGATGCCTGATTGGCCCAATGAAAGGATCAAGTCCTTTGCTGGGATCTATCATAAGATAGGCAGGGTCAACCCACGCTGCACTGGATACATCTGGTGGTCAAACCAGTCTTCAGTGCACTTCCTGTCAGGGCGAGTGCATGATGAGAGTGTGCTCATGGACAGTGAAGTAAAGTGGAAAGACCTTCCTTGAGGTCATTGCCATGTTCAGAGGTACATCCATTTTCTATCCTTGGGATTCATGGTATCCACAACCAGACCTGGCAATTTCCTCTTATTTTGTGTTTTCCCAGAACATGCCCATGTATTTGGAATCCACCCTTGTCGCCCAAGTTGCTGAGCATATTGAAGCTGATGCAACACATCAGGCTGATGAGGAAGAAGGTGTTCTAATGGAGATTGGGGTCCCTTCTGCTGGCCCTGCAATTGAAGGGGTGAGGGTGAAAGCAGCACCTCCTTTGCCTTCTCTTGCTAGCTTTGGTACGAAGAAAGGGTACATGGCAAAGATGATTGCCCTGTGTGTTGCTTTGGACCTTGGCTTGACTGAGAAGATCAATAGGATCAGGACTATCCTCAGCAAAAGCCGGGCATTTCAAATCCTCTTTGATTCCCACCTGAGGATGATGACTGACACTGGTCATGATGACAGGTTTGATTACAGCTGAGCATATTCATGTAGCATGTCATGTCATGTGAACTTTGGCATATACTTATGTGAAACATGTGAACCATGTTTTGCATGAAGACCTATGGTCATGTCCATGAGTGAACTTGTTCAATGAAAGTGTATCTGTTTTGTTCTTTAGAAGCAGATGCTCAGCATGAACCTGAATTCAAATCCAGGACTGTCATGTCATGAGTGTGGATTAATATGTTTTTCAATGGACCGCTCCAAAGAAGCATGTTAGGTTCTAGGGCTGCTATGAAGATGGATGACACAAAAACTTTTCAAAAAATGCAGCCACCCACTTGATAAGAGATTAGCTTCCTGCCTTTGTGCGCATGATAGAAAGCAACATGATCAATGTTGTTTTGAATATGAGAACATATATTTATTGTGAAAACAAATAGGCTACCATTAAATACTATAATTATGAACTCTAGCTCACATTAATAAGTTTATGTAAAAACATTGTATTGAATGCTGACCATAACCATCATTGTGCAATGTCCCAACGAAGTCTTTGTTGGCAAACAACACTCTATATGTTTGCTCATTGGGTGCGCGCACAATATTTTGAAACTCAATTTGACTGCATATGTTGCTAGCACAGCAGCTCTTGTAGCTGAAGCCTTGTGGGTGTGAACAAAAAGAATTAGAGCCTGAGCGCTTTCAGTTTCAAGTGTCCACTATGAGAGCTTGTATGGTATCTATCTAAGGCATGATGCTTTTATGTCAACTGTGCATGGCTGATATGCATTTCATGTTAAAATGTACAAGTCATTGATATATGTTCATGTTCATATTCATGAAGGAGTTGAACCACTTGTATAGTCAATATGCATGTGAGGGCTTCCATGAGATGCATGTACTGAGTGAGGTGGTACCATTCTCTATGAAGCCTTTGGCTGTCATCATGAGTTTATGTTGCATGCATATATAAGGCTTTTCAGCTTGCACTCTATTCATAGTTTGCTTAGTGTGTCAATGTACACAGTTAAGCCATGAGTCAAGAGACTGTGGTGGATGATACTTTAGTGGATGAGCAACCATCTTCATCTACACTACTACCCATTGCTGATCCAGAAGATGAAGTGGCTTTGCTGCCCCAGGACAATGAGAAGGGCAAGGACATAGTGAAGTGGATTGAGGTAGGTCTTGGTGCAGAGACCAAAAAGGTTCCTTTTGTGTACAACACAATTACTAGAAAGGTCTACTGTGGTGCTACCACAATGAAATTGAAGAGAGGTCAAAATGGCCAAGTATATGTCAATTGTTTGTCAGGATGCTTGTACAATGACAGACAGTGTGAAGACTCCTGTACATGTTTCTGCCATGCATTGTCTAGATGGTACAGGTCTGATTCCTGAGTGTAAAGCACATTGCGAAAAAAGACCATTGGCAGAGTCCCCAGCTGAAGAGCTTTCATGTTGCAAGTTCATATATTAGTTGCATGGTCTAAGTACAAAGCTAGAAGCTTTCATGTTACTTGGACATACAATGCTTCCATGGCATTAGTACTAAGGCAGCAAGCTCACTCATGTTTCATGTCATGTAAGATGGACATGAGTCCAATGTCAAGCTGAACAGCTTCATGTTCATGTACAGGTTCATGTCCATGTTCATGTACAGGTTCATGTACATGTTCATTCTCATTCATGCATGATTCTTGTACTAAGCTGAAAAGCACTGTGTCATTATTTCCTTTGCATGTGATTGCATCATTGTAGCTGTTTGCTTTTACTGTGACAAGACCTATTCATTTGTAGCACTTGATCTGCCATTTGATGGCTATGTGGACTGTGGAAGACATCAAGAAGGAGATTGCTGATATCAATGCTTTCCTGGGGCATAGGAAAGCTGGGGAGTCAATCACTGACCTTCAGACTTCCATGCAAAAAGGGATCCTGTCAAAGATCGACGCTGCGTCTTTGTCTCCTGCAGACAGCTTGTTACTGTACGAGCAAATTGATGAGAGCTCATCATTCAGTGTTACCATGAAGAACACCTTGAAAGAGCAGGTTGACCAGACTTTGACAAAGCCTGCACAAACACAAGGGCCCCAAGTGGCCTTGAAGCCACAAACAATTTCATTGCCTAAGTACCTCACCAAGGAGGAATGGAATACTGTCCTGACTGGCCAGAACTACCATGAGAAGATCAACACTTTGGTGGGAAGATTGGTTCAGCTGGGCCTCAAGACTTTGTCAGAGAAGTCGGTCAAGTCTGCGACAGCCTGTCTTTTCTGTTCTTTGTCTACTTTGCCTGGTGCCTTAGCAAAGTATCAGACGGCGCAGGATGTGAAGCTTGCCTTCATCAGCAAGGCTTGCACAGGGCCTGACATTCCCTTTGTGTTTGCATATCCTGAAGAGCCTCAGGCTCTGTCTCCTGTTGTGCTTCCAAAAGCATATTCAGGAGGAACCAGTCCATCTGGGTTTGTTCCAGCAGAGTATAGTAAGATGCTCCATATGGTGATCCTGAGGGATACAAACAAGGAGATCAGAAAGTCACAGACAAACACACCAGCACCTGCACCTACCCAGCCCCAATCCCAGCCACAGCCTGAGACCCTGCTTCACATGGCTGGTACTTTCACGCATGGACAAGGTCGACATTATGGTCAAGGGTCTCCTCCACATTGGCTGTTGCCAATGGTGACACTGGGGCCCCCCACAGACTCCCAAGCAAACTCCTCTAGCTCTTAAGGATGTTCAGCCCTGAGCTCAGGTGTGGCCAGTCTTTTGAAGATCCAAACAAGCAGGAATCCCTTGAGCAATCCCAGGCAGAGACCACCTCTCGAGCTAAGCACCCCTTGCCACTCCAGGGTGACTCTCAGCACTCAGATGGCAGGAATGTTGAAGAGGCTGCCTTTGCTGCTTTGAAAAATAGGCAAGCAGCAGCCAAGGCATCAGCCAAGGCCTCAGCCAAGGCTGCATGCAAGCCAAAGGCAAAGGCCAAAGGCAAAGCAAAGGCCAAAGCAAAGCTTACTTCGCCTGATGCCACCAAAGCAGAAGACCCCAAGCAGTCAGAGGTCACTCCTGCACCCAAAGCCAAAGCCAAAGCTGGGGGCAGGCAAAGCAAAAGGACTGCTGCTGAAATGGAAAAGACTGTGAGAGCTGGGATGTCCTATACTTCAGGGGAGCCTGAGGACAGGTGGGATGGCAAATTGAATAGCTGGACCTCCAAGCACTACAAGCTGGCCAGGCAAAGGGCTGCAGATGCTGGTGCAAGTGAAGAGGAGGCCAAAGCTTTTGGTAGCCTGGCCCTGCATGAGGCAAAGGCTGCCTATTTGGCTAGGTTTCCAAAGGGGTAGATTCACATCCATTTAGCCAAGTTTGCAAAGGGGTATAGAGTCACATAAAAACCTTGGAGTGATGTGTTGGCAAAACATGTGCGCAGCATCTCTCACGCAACATTTCTCATGGCTTCATGGTTTTTATGATAGCTGACTAGCTTGTATCATGAGACTTTGGCTTTTGCATTGCATACCATTGGCTTTGCAGCTTTCATGTAAAGCTTTTCCAACTGATGCCTAGCAAGTCTGTTGCTTTTGAGTGGCATGTACAATGCATTACACACATCAAAAGGTACATGTCCATGTCATGGAATGCAGCACCTATATTGTTCAAAATACCAACGCTGCCTGAAATCCTTGCACTCCTGGCAGGAGAGCCACCTGCCCTGCCCAAGGGTTGGACTCATGGCGCATTTTTCTGATGGAGTATTGGAGGGCCTGTGGAGGAAGGATGTGGAGAGTATCTCTTTACAGCTCAGGGTGGACATGG